AACTTTCGAGTTTGACACTACTGCCTTGGTCCAGAAGGAATTTGATTTCCGGAGAAAATCAAATGATGAAACATACATACCACAATATAACTACATAGGTATAATCGGCATACGTGGTATAAAGTCAAAGAGATACAAAGGTATACCAGATCCATCAAGAAAAACGTCATGTAAGTGTTTCCTGCACATCCTCATAATGTCAATGATTCCGTTTAAACAATGGCGTCACTCCAACGAATATACAACCAAACAAAGCTAATGCAGCCAGACGTCATTGCTTAATCTTTACTCGGAATAAAACTCACCTGCACACTGTGCGCAGAAAAAGGTGAATGAAAACTTTTTATGTGTAGAAAAGAGAAAAAACATTTCGAAAAAAAATACAATGCCTGAAGTCCTATAAATGCAGATTGTCCACACAAACGTTTTGTGTAAGTGGCGAGGATGACGGTGCGCTGAGAGTGCGGGTATACGAGTAGATGAAGGTGAGATGAACAACCACAAAACAGTGTGTGGGTGTATGCATCTCATTTATTCCATACACCCATCCTCACACGAGCACCAACACCCACCCACACTGACATCCTCACCCTCAAGATTTTTTGCGGCCTTATTGATGTAAATTGTAACTTGGCGATAAATATGAACTCGTTAATGAGTGCGGTGATTTGAATGACAACAGAGATTACAGTATCGGTTTGTATAGGCAGCAACTTGTTTTTTCTCGATTTTTCTGCGACTAACAATGTTTGTATTATTTTGTTGATGTAAAAAGGCAACCTCGCCACATAGTTACTATTGAGAACGCGGTTGTGAAATATAAAAAAGAAAGAAAGGAAGACAAACAAAAAGCATTTATTAACAGAACTCGAACAAGCAAAATGCAAAGAAGCCATCTGCTGGCATTTTAATTGGTTGTTTTCTGGATATGGGTGTGCGTGTTGGTGTGGGTGAAGGTATCTGGTGATGGTCTCTTCTTCAATCGCACCGCATATACAACCACCCTCAAGAATCCATAGGCCCAAAACTTTTTGGGATTAAGCTAGCATAGAGATGCCTTCGATATGCTGAGAATATCAGAAATAAAACGATGAATCACTTCGAACGGCTCTCTAATTAGTCTGGACATGTTTGAAGGTTTAAATGTGTGATTTTAGGTCGTAAAGAATGGACTCTTCAAAACAGTATAGAGTTCGCGCGAACCTAAAAGTTCCCATTGAATAGGGTGGATCATGGTTCCTGTGCAATGACTCTTTGGAAGCATTTTATTACAGATCTTGACTCGTCAAAAGTCTGCTGTGCCTCTGATACATTTTACTAGGATCAAGCACTGAGCATTAGTATGGAAAAAAGGTTTCTTTGCATTCATATCTCGTTTCTAGAGATTTCGACTATTGAGGAACTTAATTTTATCAAGAACGGTCACCTAACTCTTCACTCTGTCTCCCAGATTCTATCTTAAATGTGTGATAAAAAAAACTATTTTTCTTATGTGCAGAGCTGCTTTTTTTATATAGTAGATGTGAAAAAATGGAAGCGATTGTTGATCTTTCTCCGATGAAGCGAGAACAATTGTTTTCTTCTTTTACTGCTGCAATCTAATGTAGTAGAATTGTGTAAAGAGAAAAACAACTGCGGCGTCTTTAAAAAGACGAGAGAGTGAGAACTTACCCTACAAAAAGAAAAAAGAATTCTATAACGGGAAGAGGAGAGAAAATTCTAAGCAAACAAAATAATAGACAAGAGGGAAAAATCCATAAAGGGAAGAGGAGTGGGAAAACTCATTATTCTTAGAAGCTGAAAACACAAACTGCTAAGAGGCAATGAAAGTGTGTCGTTCTCCAATTCCGTATCGGACTTTTTCTGTGCTAATCAGAGTAACCGATGGTGTCGATGTGGATGTCTCTAATAAAAATGATTTGAATAAATTTACTGAACAATGGACAGAATCATTAGAAACTAAAATTGATACTGATATTAGAACAAAATTAATTGAACCAGTTTCAAATAAATGTGCTAATAAATTATTAAGAAAAAATGGTAAAACTGCACAAAAATATCATCAACGTCATAAAGATAATTTTTTATGGATACCATTTCAAGAAAATGAAAAACAACACAAGAAAAATTTATCAAAAAATCCAAATTTAGTTGCAAGTATTGTTGAAGAAGGTGGATCAATGGATATGATTTGTATTCATGCAATAGCAGATGTATTAAAAACATCAATTGAAATAAATAATGTTGACGTAACATTTTTTCCTGATTTAATTTGTCCAGATGACTGGGATAAGAATAATATTGATAATAGTTATTTAATACATGCAATTATGGAAACAAAAGGCGATGATATCAGTTCATCTGATTTGAATAAGATTCGAAAAGCAATTGCAAATCAAATTAGAATTAATCAACAGATTGGAAGTATAATTGAAAAGGGTGATCATCGTTATTATATATCGCAAGTTGGTTTTGGCAATAAAAAACTATCCCCTGTTCAGGAATTAAGGAATTTACCATTTGACGAGAATTTTAATAATGATCATATAATAGGATTAGTTGGCGTACATGGTAATGGATATTCTTATGGAATAAAATGTCTTTCTAAACAGAAAATACGTGAATCAGAACATCTTATTCCAGATGCATTAGTTAAACGACTATGTAAAGTAATGTGTATTAGATATGTAATAGAAACTAAACATGTAGAAGTAGTAGGAAATCAACAAAAAGAAAAGGAATTATTTGATAATTATATGAAAAACGGTGTATCCAAAACTGAATTAGACAAATTTATGGTAGCAACTAAAGATATGTTAACAATTTGTATGCCTTATTCAGATCATCATAATAAAAAACGAACTTGGTCTAGTTTTAAAAGTTTATATCCTAATGAATGGACAGAAGCAGAAGGCTACATTGATAGTTATAAAAGGATTGATGATAATAAAAATGATCTATTATTTCATTTAGTAATGAAACAATACGAACATTTATTAAACAATAAGTTATATCCGAAAATAAGACAAGGTTTTGCTAAATATTTTGAATTAAGTGAATCACGTGGTTTTATTAATTCCGATCAAAGACATCAATTAATGAACAAATATGGATTGTTAGATATTTCAGACACTAAACAAGTGAATCAACTACCAATCGATCATAAATATTATCATATTTACAATGATGCTTATCAGAAAAGTTTGTCAATGACACCAATTGGCAATCGACCAAAAAGATATACAGGCCAGTTATTATAACAATATCAAACTATTTTGAGGGTGGGTGTATATGATAGATTTGTCTTCATCCATATCCACACCCACACTCATTTATTTAGTTTTCAATCAAAATAAACAAAAAATTTTAATTATTCATTTCTTTATCAATCTCATCAAATTTAATTCAAATCAATATCAAATTTTTGTATTCGATCATTGCTAGAATCGACAACATAGAGATTACCCTGAACGTCGAATGATAAATCTGTGGGACGATTCAACTGATTTGATTGTTCTCCTTTTCCATTTCCACCAACAACAATACTACCTTCGCAAGATCTTTCACACCAACGCATTACTCGATGATTGCTCCAGTCAGCGACATAAACACTACCCAAATGGTCAATAATCACCCCTTGAGGATTACACAATTGTGTCAAACTATTCCCATGACCTTTTCCACCAGCAACAACAATACCTTCTTTTGCATCTTCCATCCATTTCATCACACGATGATTTCCAGAATCCGATATATAAACTGAGTGATTTTCATCAACGAAGATATAAGTAGGGTAATTGAGTTGATTGAGATGATTTCCGTATCCATTTCCACCTGCTACGATTGTTCCTTCTCTCTCTCCTTGTTTCCATCGTCTCACTTCATTCTTCTTCCAATCAGAGACATAAAGATCTCCATTTTTACCCATTGTTAAAGTATCACAGTGAATATCGGAAATGATTGTTTCTCCATTTTTACCATTTTGAAGAGACCATCGTACCACTTGTCTGTTGTCTCGATCACAAATGATGAGAGAATCATTCTTTTCATCAACAATCACATCTGTTGGACCATTCAGTTGATTACTTCGATTTCCTTTTCCTTTGCCACCTGCAACAACTTGACCATTCTTTGCTTCATATTTCCATTTAACAATACGATGATTCGAACAATCGGCAACATAAATAGTTTGATGATCATCATCAACATAGATACCCTGAGGAAGAGAGAGTTGATTTAATTGATTGCCTCGTCCATTTCCTCCAGCAATAGTAATTCCATATTGTTTCCATTTGGTGTCGATATTAATATGATTGAGAAGAATTGATTGTCCTAAAAGAAAAAAGATTTGATCTATATTTGAATGAAATTGATGAATAAATGCGAATAAAAAAAGTATTATCTTAAAATGTAATAAAATAAAAATGATTTTAATTTAATTTAAAATTTATTTAATAAAATTTTTTTTTATATTTGAAAAGAAAATTTGATTAATTTCATCTGAATGAGTTTGTTTATCTTTCAAGGTGTGGGTGCTAGGTAAATACAGTATCCACACCCACACCTTCAAGATTTATATTAGAAATTCAGTGAAACATATTATGCTATAAAACTTGAATTATAAATGATATTGAATGAAAACGTTTTCTTTTCTTTTCTTTTTCTTCTAAATTTACATGAAAGTGTCACTTTGATTATTTTCATATATTTACGAATCGATACTAATCACTGAATTCTTCATCTATATTCACATTGAAACTGGATAACTGATGCAATATTTACATTCTTTTATATTATCTACTATTGAATAGAGAGATCTCTCACTTTTTCATATAAGTGTTATGATTTAGAAACATAAATAAATGTTAGTTAATATTGAGTGTATCGATTTGAGTTCGATTCTAAATAATTTTCTGTCATCTAAAATAACTAACTGATAAACGCAAAACGTCATTTTTTAAAGGAATATTTATTTTTCTCAACCAGTTTCACCTTTTTGAATTTCTTAAAGATTTTCTTCGGCGATAAAAGACTCATTTTTTTTGTAGATCACTTTGCTTGAAAATCAGAGATTTTCTTTCAATAAACTTACCGATGGAATTGTTTGTTTTATTAATAGTTGGATTAACAGTTAATTGATTTTTCGTTTTGATCGCGAGTGATTTTTGATGCCATTGAACACTCATATCATAGTCACCTGTTTGTGATGCCAATTCACCAAGATCTTCGTATAAACTGCTGAGTAAAGGATCACTTGACGGAAGTTCTTGTAATAAACGATTAAAATACTTTTCAGCAAGATCAAGTTTACCCATTTTCCATAATAATTTTCCTAATGTTCGAAGATTTGTTTGTTCATTTTCAATTTGTTGTTTCATATACATAAGAACTTGTTTTAAATCATGTTCATCATCATTACATAAAGTCATTTTAATGATCCATATTTGATCATCATTATAATTAATATCATTAAGACGAAAAATGGAACCAATCATAAAGAGAACTTCTGATTCATGTGGAAAATAACTAAGTGCACTGATATCAGCAAATGGTTTTGTAGTAATCATCTTTGGATCAGCATCAATTTCAAATAATACTCGTTCCGAATCAATCTGTGTAGTTATATCACCCAAATAGAAGACAGCTGTTGTACGTTCTTTACTAGTAGAAAACATTGAATTTATTGAAATGAACTGGCCAATGTTTTGTTTAAGACCACCTAACTCATCGCTCGACATTAGTTGACTTCGGTAAACTTGCAAAGGATGTTTAGATTGAGATTCTTGCAATTGACGATAGATATCATAAATAAATGCACGAAATAAAAAAATCATATGAATATTTTGTGCACGTAAAGCTGCATTAAGAGTTTTATAAAAGAATGTTTCTTTTGTATACCACCATACCACTTTATTGGGGGAATAATCTTCTTCAAATTCACGAAGATTGCTTAGTTCGATATAATTTCCTTCGTATTCATTTTTACAAAGATTAATAAGTTCATTTTTGTCTATTTCAGTTGATTTTAATCGTAGAAGACAGTCAACAAGAATTTGAGAAAAAACAAATTGTCCATTAACTCTTATTGTTGATTTCCCTGCACCAACATTTGTTGTGAAAATATTGATTGATAATGGTTCTTCTACCTTTTTCTGAATTTTATGATGTGTTGTAATTTGAGTGACAAGTTCATCAAGATCAACAACAACAGATTTTATCTGTAGAAAAAATAATACAATGAAATAACAATCTTTTAGCATGGTTTTACTTTTACAAATTTGCAAGCCCATTGTTCATTACTCTTCTTGTCCATACAATAAACATAAATTGATATGACTTGTCGAAGTTGATGAATGTAGGGAACTATTTCTTGTCCTAATCGACCATTAACAATAAGTATTAATCGATCTTTTTGTGATGTTTGTTCAATATATTGTTGACATTGTTTTATATCTTGAAATTTCTTGATATGATTAATAATCGACCGTAATTTTACTTCTGTATCTCGAGTGTCTTTAACGTCTACATTTGCATCGAGCCAAATCAGTGAGAATATTTCCAGAGACTTATCATCGGCATTTGTGTGAAAATCATCATCTGGTAGAACGGCAGTAGCCATCTTAATTCAAGAAACTAAAACTAGTAGAGTTCTCAAATGTTATGTATTTAATCTACATATAATTATCCAATAAATTGTGTGTTTTTTACAGTGAAAAAAGAATAATATGTTATTATTGATTAAAGAAATGATTCGTATGTTTTCTTAATCTCTTTTTATTAAGGCTTTAGAAACAAGATACACAACTTTGTCATTGATGAAGATCAGGATGTGGGTGTGAGTGAGTATTGTATCTCTCTAACCCTCAATCGTGATCAAGTTATATTAACATACCTTACAAAGTGAGGCCAAGTTCAATAAGACGTTCAGAAGAACCTGATCAAGGCAATGAAAAATGTCTGAGTTAGATAGAAATAAATTCTTTATATGCACATTGTTTATCTCCGTTCTTTGTATTCATGTGTCCTTGCAAGAGGTAACTCTTGTTTCTCTTGTATTCGTTCTTATCAACATAGATAAACGAGTTTGTCAGAAGCAAATGAAAACCCCAATGCAACAGAACAAAATTTGTTTCACAGATTGAGTCTATTTTGATAAAAGCAAATGAGCTACAGAATAATTCAAAAATTAGACATAAAGAATCTATAAAGGTTCTACCAGGGTGTGGGTGTGGGTATCAATGAAATGATCAATAACCCACACCCACACCCCAAATATATTCCAATATGTGAAGATAAAAATTGTATAAATGATCGAAAATAATAATTAGATCAAAACTCATTTATTTTCGATTTTTAAACAATTAAAATTGAGGATACTGCGATGATTCTCATTGTTGTGATAGTACAAATGATATATACACAAATAAATATGAATGATTTCGATAATAATTGTTTGAGAAAACTCATTAAAATATATTTTACATTAAGATTTAATGAAATAATGAAATGAATATGAGATTTGAATAAATTATTGCGAGCAGTTCATTGTCTACACAGAAATGAGAAAGAGAGACAAACCATAGTAATTAAATTACGGAACTATAACAAAGCTATCCCAGTAAATGAGAATCGATCTGTCGTTTTCAT